AGAGTAGCAGGGATTGAACCCAGGGTTTTTTTGTGTGTGTGTTTGGTTTTTTTTAACCTTTATTTTGTTTATTTTTATGTGATGCTGAGGATTGAACCCAGTGCCTCATACATGGCAAGTGCTCTGCTGCTGAACCCCAACCCCAGCTTGAACCCAGGTTTTCTTTTAACCACTAAGCCACATCCCCAACCTTTTCATTCTTTTTTTTTGGACAGGGTCTTGCTAAGTGTCTCACTTAGGAAGCCTTGAACTTGAGATCTTCCTGTCTCAATCTCTTCAACCACTGGGATTACAGGCATGCACCACTATGCCCTGCAGCAAATGTGCTTTTGAGGATCTGATTAAAGTAAATAGCAACGTGTATGATGCTGATGAAATTCCCTCTCTCAATGGGTGAAGTCTCTGCTCTCAAGGCAGTTACCTTCTTCTGAGTCTTGATTGATTCCCCTGAGGACGTAGGCAGGCCTCCTACTCTGTCTGTGCTTTGTGTAGTGGGACAGTGACGTGGAGAAGCATGCTTGTCTACTTACTTCCTCTGCAGATTCATTCACAGACCTCCTAGGAGTTCAGCTGTTATTCCTCCAGCCTGCTCCCAGGTTGGGAAGACCTGTTGGGGTTCTATTTGCATTTTTAGTTCTAAGGATTGAAGTGTCTCTGATTTTCTTTTCCTTTTCTCAAAATTTCTCAATTTGCCATAATCCCTATAATTATTGATTAATTATTAATTGATTAATTATCCCTAATACTTGCTAGTTTTATTTTGCTAATATGCTTTCTAACAGTACAGGCAGGATAAACATTATTGTTAAAATCATAGGTACTTTATTTATAGACACTGAATTTAATAACTGCAAACTGGAATGGATTATATATTGTGTAGTATTATAACTTGTCAAAGAAACTTTCAAAGTTTAGACTACAGAGAAGATGTATGTAAAGATGCAGGGAGAGTCTTCAACCATTCAGGATATTTCTTTTAGCTACATTTATCTTTGAGTAAAAGAAAAGGGTAGAGTTTTTTCACACTGTCCCTTAAGAAAGTAACATTTGTTATAAGGATTTCAAAACCAATTCCCATTTTCCTCATTTGAAATGTATGAGGCAAGGTTTTTCCCCCCTTGTATTTAAACATTGAGATTTGTTTTTAAAATTGGACACCCTTTTCAAATCTCAACATATCTGATACAACATTTAACTTTCATCTAATGCAGCATCAAGCCAAGAATATTTTTAGAACATCTAATGGATATGCCAAGGAATACCAAGATAAAAAGCACAGTCTCTGCCCTTGGGCTAATAGTGTAGTGGGACATTTTAGAGTTATTTGTACAACTCTAAATTGAATGTGTTCTACTTAAACTTTGTCTCCACTGCCAAATATCAAATAATTGAAAAAGAGAGCCATACCACTGGTTCATAAAATAGAGAGTATGTATCTGTGCAGGTCTTTTAATGTCATAATGTCATCCCAGGATCCAGGGAGCAACTGTGCACTGTCAGGAATTTCCTTGTTTATTTCCAATTATTTTGCTCATTCAGCAAAGAGAGAGTATGTGTGTTCAAGTAAACTGACATTTGATAATATTGGTAAAGCAAGTGGATCAACAGATGAGACCTGCAGTTGGTAGCAAATCTATTTCTTCAGTAAGAAATTCATCTAAGATTCATATGCTTTTTGGAGTCCCTCTCTCTCCAGTTTCCAATTAATCATAAGATTCACAGTAGGTCTAAAATAGGCACACAGAGAATAACAAGAGGTAAATTTAATTTTGAGTTGAGGGTACTAAAGGACATCTGAAGAGAGGCCTGGAGTTTAAGGTGGGATCCTGTGGCCCACTGAGACCATTTCTGAGCGATGGGCTTGGCTCCTGTCACTGCCTTCTAACATGCTGTATTAGAGAAAAACAGCAACACTTGACCACAGCCTGAGAGACAACTTGATTCATTCAAAGGAAAATTAAAGACTCGATAGATGCAGCAATAAACAACAAAACTCATCACCAGTTACCTTACTGCAGTTGAATCTGTAGGCAGACGTTGTTGGTGACTCGCTCAGGCGACTGCAGTCTTCCTGCTGTGCACAAGGAAGGAAGTGCACCCTGACCAAGCTGATCCTCCTGAGGTGCCTGGGCTTCCGTCGAAATAGAGCACCTACATGTGTGTGAGGAGTCCCAGTTCTCTCTGTGAGTCACACCCATTGTGACGTTGATGGATGACTAAGTCTCTTCTCAATGGATGAGGGAAGCCAAGAAGCTGTAGGTCACGTGTTTCCAAAAGAACCAGAGTATTCTTGATAAATTAAATATTGCTGCTTATAGAAAGAACCTTACCCCCCCCCCAACAAAAAAAAAAAAGACTGGTACTATTCTCTTCCCTGGGACCAAATACTGTAGCTGAAATAATGTGACAAGGAAGCATTGTGTAATCTGCCTGGTATATTGTGTTAATAATTTAATTTTTAAATTATGATTATTGTTCTTGATTGAGGTGTTTTCCTTCCTGTTAGCATGCTTTTGACTATATAGTATTCCTGTCCTCCTAACAGAGTAAGTTGGAGCAATCAGTCTCTAATGATTTTATTTTATTTTTTTAAACATTGGTGAGCAAGGAGATCAAAACAATTTAATGAAACAAAGTTTTGGAATTATTCATGCTTCCTAATTTGTATTATAAGGTATAGTAATGACAGCATACTGACATGGTGTCTGGTACTGAGACTCTTGAGGACAGGAAAGAGGTGGACTGTTTCAGAGCTGGTCACAGGGGACCTAGCATGGCCCTTGGGTTGCAATGGAAAGTGTTGAGGCTGCAGGTATTGAGGGGACTAGGCAGAGCTCACCCTCCTTTGAGCCTGCCAGACCTCCCCTGTTTTAGTCACACAGGCAGGCAAAACTCCACAGATTTTTAAAAAAATTTCCATTTCCTTGTATGCTAGTTTAATGCTATATTCCTCAGATATATTTTATATGCCTATATAAAATACAGATACAATGCTGTATTCCCCAAGCTCTGTGTTCCGTTTTCAAAAACTACAGTTTTTTATTAGCTGGAGTGAGCATATGAAAGGACTTGTCTAGCTGGAGTCTAAACACTACTTTCACCCTTTAAATTAAATGGGGGGCATGTGCTTTTTTTTTTTCTGCAAAAGAACAAAAACAAAAACAAGACTAAAATATACTCAGACAAACATTTAGAGTGCTTCCACTCCCTCAAGAATTCACAAGTCAAAGCAAGACTTAAATATGATCCTCAGAGAAATTCACATGGACTAAATCCACATGAAAAAAAGCTATAAATAAGAAATGCCAGGTCCCCTCCTGTGAGCAGGTTGTTGTAACTGAAAGGTGAAGAGAACCTCAGGCAACCTGGGTGGTCCAGAGGCAAAAGGACAAAGTGAAAGTTATAACAATAGGGAGTTTTACTTACTTGACAACCCTGCCCGGTATAGTTCCCTTCATCCACTGGTCCTGTTCAGGTTAATGGAATCTTATGTTAGCAGCACCTTATCCAGGGTGTAATCACATCCACATTTAAACTCACATCTGAAGTACTGTTTCCTTCTCTCCCAACCCTTCAGTATGCAACATTTGAAGATGCTACTTTGTTCAGAATCTTCCTTCTATTGGACCTCTGGTTATCAAAGGTGATGAATACCAGCTATCAGTATATATCCCCCAAGCTAAATTGTGATTTGATTGTTTTTCTCCTAGTTCCTTTTTAAAACAGAATTTTGCATTGTGGTTTCATCCAAATGTGAATTTCAATATTGATAACTGGATTATAGAGAGGTAAGGCAAGATCCTGCTAGACAAAACACTGAAGACATGGCTCTCCTTTTTCTTCTAAAGCTATATGTCCCCCATATTTCTGCCCAAAGGTGCTTGCCTTCTTGATCCCTTTCCAAACACCAAAACTCAAGAACACCCAGATCCTTGGGTGTCCCAGGCACACATATCAGGTTTCTGTTGCAGTCTGTGGATCTGTGGTCCAAATCCCAGAGAGTCCTGGAATGGAAACTGTGCCTGTGGAGAAACACACTTACCCCACACTGCAGGCTGTGGTGCGTCCCACTCCTGTCTACGTGCTGACCTCCTCCTTCCTGGCAGAATAATAGAATCCTGTCTCCAAGGCCACTGTTTCTCTGAAAAACTGAATTGGTATTGTAAGTTCATATTTTCAAAAACATGCTTGGTATTTTCTTCCTCCTTCCTTTGTCTGCAGATGGTTCTCTTAAGGGAAACTGTCCCTTGGTCCCCCTCCCTCCTTTTCCACCAACAAAGCCTTTGTCATGTGAGCCGCTTATGAATAGGTAGACTTGGCCTGAACTTGGAGCTTTGTTACTCATTTGGCTTGCTGTGACTCTCCCCACTGAAGGATGAAGCTGGGTTAATCTTTTGTTTCCCTAAACTATAAGATTCTTAGATTATAGTAATAGTTAAAGGTTGAGTCATGGGAACATTCAGGAACTTGTTTAAGGAAAGATTTTTTTTATTATTATTTGCAGAACACACATGCTTTCAGCTTATGCAAACAAGAGATCCTGGCTTGAACAATGGAGCAAGGAGTACTATATGAGGAGCTCATTGTTCTGGGAAGGTAGATAGAACCAGTGAGAAGATGGGTGAGAATGGAGGTGATGGGCGAGCAGAAACACTGGGGATTCCCAGCAACAGGGAGAATTGCAAGAAGCACAGGTAGAGGCTTAGTAAGAAAATGTGGCTCCCACAGAGGGGAAAGGGTAGGCACTCCTTTCAGTGTCACTCTCACGTTTGCAAAAACTTTACCCCTGGAGCAGGCTAGGAAACCCAGCAAACCTTCCCCTAAAGAAGGAGATAAAATTCCAGAGGAACCAACCTTATCTCAGGAGGAAAGGGCTGTCCTTATCTTGAAAATACCCACAGTGAAGTAAAATGGCCTAATGCAGGTTGGCATCCCAGTTATTATGGGTGGTACTCTGGTACCATACAGGTATGTGTTAAGCAAATGTCCCGCATAAACACTCTTCCCAGGGTACCAGGGGCACCTTCTGGCTGGCAGCTTCACAATGCAGGGTGCTGTTGCTCCAACTTCTTTCTGAGTGCAGAACCTGCCCTTTGTGGAAATCAGGGTTAGGACGCTGGCTTCACGTCAGTTCCATCTATATGGGGCTCATTGGACCTTTAAACCAAATCCCAGGGGCCAATAGTTTCAAGAAATGTTTTTTCTACTCTTTTTATTTTTGTTATTAATAAAAAGTAATTGTGCCATGAAAAGTGGGGTGGGGGGACAGATAGAAAGAAAAATTACTCTTTACTTAACAGATGGGAGCAATCCTAACAATCATTCGTCAAGCACTGTTCTACTGCACTGTGTTATCTAATTAGCACAGACACCGCATGAAGGTCTTCTTGCTCTCATTTACAGTTGAGAAAACTGAGACTCAGAATGGCGAAGTACTTGCCTAGCTATTCAGGACCAGACCAGATCTGTCTTACTTCAGGGTCCATGGTGTTATACTCTAGATCACTATTACTGAAGCCAGCAGTATACAGGCAGTCAGTATAGATAGGTAAATCGAATAAGATGGATTAAGAAGGCCAATTTGAGTAAATCTGGGAAGTTGGAGAGGAACTGAAATGCCTAATGCCTTCAGAGCCCTTCCTCCACTCTTATCAAGATAACCTGCTGCTGCTTCAATTTATTGCTAAGGTAAACTGTCTCAGGGATTGTCCCTCCCTGCAGGGATTTGTTAACTATGCCCCCTTCCAGTCCAGAGCACTCCAACTTGGCCCCTCTGGCCCATTTGCTTCTCACCTTTTGGCCATCCCACCAGCGTCTCCTGGGCCTAGTCACGTATGCAGGAAGGAGAGAGAGGAGAAAAGAGCAGGAGAACAAAGGAAGCCCAGAATACCCTCATATAAAAAGGGATACCAGCTATGGCCCCCTTCTTCCTCCAGGGAGAAGTCTATGTTACTCCTTTTAAATAAACCCTGCTTTATATGCTTGCCTCTGTGTGATTCTCTAATGTTCTACTTCAACTTGTAGGGAGCAGAACTCATCTCTGGTAACCAGCAGTATCATTACTATTAATTTAGTCTTTTTTTCCCCTTACATGTATCTTCATATGTATAATGATCTTCAGGTATCTTCATATGTATAATGACTAACAAAACTACTACATGTCTTTTAGGCTGCTTTCTTGAAATATTATCATAAACAGCCAAAATAATTTCTGATCTCAGTAAATTATGAATTTTAAAAAATAGTTGTTGTTATAGTGCATCATATGGACTTGATTAACCTCCTCTAATGGGGCACTTAGATAGTTTCTAATTTTTCATTCTTTTGAATAATGCTTTGAAGAGTCTGAACAAGTAAGTTTTGCTAAGTGCCCCCAGTTTATTACCATCACACTTCCCCTCGGATCACGCTTCTATATGTCTGTTCATAAAAATATAGTTTTCTCTGGTTCTTTGGGTCTTCATTTATGGTCTTATTTAACTTTGGTTAAATAATCATGGTTTAAAAATATGGTTTCCTCTTGTTAATCTATCTTTTGATATGGGGTCTTAGCTAAGCACCTTGCGAAGGGTGAGGAAAAGGTACTACCTTTTCTCCCCTACATCAGCAAATAAAATGGTTATCACTTTAAGCTACCAAGTTTTGGGGTAGTGTGTTATACAGCAAAAGCTAGCTGATATGTGCTTGTGTAGCAGATGTTTGTTTTCTCCTGCCTGCTTGTTATAGCCATTTGCTATTCTAGATGGAAAACAGGACACTGAGAGAACCTGATAATGTTATGTCTGCCAGAGGGTGGGTTTTTTTAATTATTAATTTTTAGTTGTCGATGGACACAATACCTTTATTTATTTACTTTTATGAGGTGCTGGGAATTGAACTCAGTGAGTGCCTCACGCGCTAGACAAGTGCTGTATCACTGAGCTATAACCCTAGCCCCCGAGGGTGGTTTTTAGTGTTCCCCAATTAACAGGTCATTTAATATGGGTTTTAAAGGTACAAAATATCATTTCTAAATTTCTTTGGCAGTAAACACCCTAATTTATTCTGTGGTAAGCGGCTAGTTATGTGTTTGAATGTTTGAAAAGCCAGTGTGGAGTGATCTCCTGGGCAAAGGCAATGTTCTGCT